GATTCGGTCTGAGTCGGTGTCGGCTTCGCTGTCGGTTCGGTCTGTTTTCGTTTGCGCTGTGTGCTTCAAGTTCCATGTGGAACTACATCGATACAGGGCCCCTCGGCTTCGGCTTGCATTCCTCTCGACGCTCGCGGGCTGCTGTAGGCGATGGTTGCGTTCTAGGAGTGGAAAATTCGGCACAACCCGCACAAACGAACGTTGAACGGCATGAATGGGGAGAAGGAGAGTCCAGGAAATACGGGAAATCATGGGGAAGATTTGGAATTGTCGCACCGTTCGCAGACCCGAGACCTGGGACCCTTCTCTCTCGGGTCGGACGCCAGGGGGGTGGGGGACGGGGGTACGACAGGGAGGCACCAGAAAGACCAGCTGCCTGAGCTGAGCATTCTCCCCCCCGTTCAATCGCCCCCCCCACGGTCCGACCTGGCTCTCTCCCAGACCCCTCGGCGGTGCCACGAAACGAACACGTCGGTTTTATTCCCGATGGTCAAGCCGCCTCCTCTAGGTCACCTTCAGAGGCGCGAAGAGCGGTGGCCCTTCTCCAAGGAGCGGCGCAAGGGCGGGGCATGATGCGCGAAGTTAGGCGACCGAGGTCTTCTTTTCCGTCTTCATCTCTCTCCTTCCGTGTTTTCGAGCGTCACGCATGTCCCCCCCCCATCCACCCCCCCGTAACGGGAACGCCCGAAGCCGCTCACAGGCATGCTGTGGTGCTCACATGCTGTGGTGACGCTCACTGCAGCGGCCTCCAGAGGTTTCCAGAGACCTCCAGAGGCATCTGGAGGCCCTCTCTCTGTCTGTCCCCCCTCTTCCCTACAATGAAGCTTGCATTCTGCCCAGCAGTGCGGGACGGATTCCCTCTAGATTCCCGCTCCCGGTCAGAACAACATCCCATCTGTTGTGCAGCCCGATCCATCACCACCCAGGGGCTCCAGGCCATGTTTCCAGCCCTGGCCAGTCTCGTCTTCATAGCAAGTTCAACCCCCATCTGCTGTTGCTTCCATGTATTTGTCGCTTGCTATCCAGCTGCCTTCGACAAGTCCTGCCACCGTGCCAGCCAAACATTTTGGGCGGTGACTGTTCGAGAGGGCACGGGAGGCCGTCGCGTGTGTTATCTTGTGTCTCCAGGTTTTGGAGAGCCGTGATGTGGATGATGTGAATTTTGAGAATGATGGGGCTGGTGCTGCTGATGATGCTGATGGTGATGATAACGACGACGACGACGATGATGATGATGCTGCTGATGATGATGATGATGATGATGACGACGATGCAAATGGTGACGATGATGATGATGATTTTGCTGATGATGATGCTGATGCTGATGACGTTGATGCTGATGCTGGTGCTGATGCTGATGATAATGATGATGACGACGATGATGATGCTGCTGATGCTTATGATGAAGCTTCTGATGTTGATGACGATAGTGATGATGACGATATGCTGATGATGCTGATGATATGCTGTTGCTGCTGATGATTATGTATGCTGCTGCTGATGATCATGACGATGATGCTGCTGCTGATGCTATTGATGATGATGCTGATGGTGATGGTGCTGCTTGTGATGATGCTATTGATGATGATGCTGATGGTGATGGTGATGATGATGACGCCGCTGATGATGATGATGATGATTATTATTATGATGATGATGATGATCATGGTGATGAGGATGATGGCGATGCTGATGATGCTGCTAATCATGATGATGGTGCTGATGATGATGAGGATGATGATGCTGCTGCTGATGATGTTGATGATGATGATGCTGATGATTATGATGATGCTGATGATGATGATGATGATCATGATGATCATGATGATGATGATGATGATGATGATGATGATGATGCTGATGATGATGATGATGATGCGGATGCGGATGCTGATGCTGCTGATGCTGCTGATGATGATGATGATGATGATGATGATGATGATGATGATCACAAGGAGGAGGGGGGGAGGAGGAGGAGGAGGAGGAGGAGGAGGAGGAGGAGGAGGAGGAGGAGGAGGAGGACGATGAGGAGGAGGAGGAGGAGGAAGAGGACGATGAGGAGGAGGAGGAGGGCCCCAGAGGGGCACCCCCATAAGTGGAGTGTCGGGCCAAAGCGCCCCCTGGCGGAGGCGGGGATCGCCGGGCCTTCGGGGGAAAACCCCCCCCGCCCGGGACGGCCCCCAAAGCATGGTTCCTTTCCGGGGGGGCCCCCGGCCACGCAGCCTCCCACGGGAGCCCGACTACCCAGCCAGGTGTCCCCCGTGGGAGTCGTGGCTGAGGGGTCCGTCTTTCCCGTCGTGTCGTCGCCGTCGCTGTCGTCGTCTGTCGTGTCGTGCCCTCGTCGCCACGTTTCCCACCCTTTGCGGTGGCCCGGCCCGCGCGCCGCGGGTGCCTAGGCGGGTGGGGGGTCCCCTTCGGGGGGATCATGGCGGATCCACACCCATCCTTCCCACTGCCAGGGGCCCCCGCCCTGGCGTGCGTGGGGGCGTGCGGTCGCCCGAGGGAGTGGCGCCCCTCGGGTGGCTTATCGGGGCGGCACTGGGGGTGTCTTTATCTGAGCCCTGCGGGGTGGACGCAGCTCCAAAACCGTTTAGGCAGCGGGGCTTGTTCCCCCCAGCTGTCTTGCTCTTTGCTGCCTGCCAACTCGTTTGCGTTTTTTCCTCCAAGCTCTTCACCGCAGGAGCTTGTGGGTGCGCAGCGATGTTGCCAGAGCCCATCCCTCCCATAGAATGTGGGTGTGTGTGTGACTGCATATTTCTGTGTCAGATGCGGGAGTTATGGCGCTGACCAGGTGAAAGGCTTGGCCAAAGAGTGCCCTCCCAAAAGGGCCAGGCGAACGGGGCAGGAGAGCTCTTAAGGAGCTCGTGAAGGGGAATGACCCTACCAGCAGGAAGGTGGTGGGTACCCCCTTCCCCGTCCATTGAGCCCCCTTTTCCATAATCGTGCAGGCTGTTTTTCACCCGGGGGATAGACTTGTCCGAGGCTCCAGAGGCTCCAGAGGCTCCAGAGGAGGTGGAGGACCAGGAAGGGGAAGGCTGTCACATGTGACACCTTTCGTCTTCAGTAAGTGAGGAGCTTTCGTGGAACTCGTTTGGGCCGTCTTAGGGCTCTCCTGGCCACCCATGAGGCAGTCTTGAGGGTCCCCTGGGGCCCTCGTAGGCCGTCTTTGGGCTTTCTTGGGCTGCCTTGGGGCCCTCTTGGCCGTGCGGTGGGTGTCTTGCGGCCGTCGCGGTGTCGTCTTGGCGCCGCCTTGGGCCATCGAAGGACATTATAAGGCCGTCTTGGGTCCACGGTTGGCCCGTTGTGGCCGTCGCGGATGCCTCTGAGATTATCGTGGGGTGCTCTGGGTCTTGGGACCGTCTTTGTGGCCTCTTGGCCCTTTTTGGGGCCATTGTGGAGGTTTCTTGGGCCGTCTTGAGCTGACAGAAGCCCGAACATGCGATAATGCGAACACCATACACATCCCAAAAGGAACTCAATACTTCTGGCCTTTGCGGACCCTATTGAAGCTCCTCGTGTGGCACTTTGGGGCCCTCGTGGACGCACTTCGGGCCGCCTTGACGCCATGGTTGGCCGCCGTGGGGCAATTTTGGGCAGTCTTCGAGGCGCATTGGACAATCTTGGTTGGTGTCCTTGGCTGCATGCATGGGCCGCATTGGAAGCTCGGGACGCAAGGGAAGGACAGCGACGGGACAGCGACGGGACAGGTCATTGACGGGACACCGACGGACGGGACACCACGGCGGGAAAGCCTGACCATCGCCCGTCCTTTGGGGGAGGATTTGACAGTTGTCTTGCCCCGCAGGAGCAACAGCGGAGTCGTTTCCCTCGCCCGCCCACGCAGTGTCGCCTCGCACGCACGGCGCGAACCCGAAACCGAAACCGAATTCCCGGTGGGGGGATCTCCGTCCCATTTCGATCTCACCCCTCACCCTACGATTACCATCGTTTTTAAGGTGTCGCAGTTGCGGGGGCGCGGCTCCATTTTGGTTTACGATGGATCGTGGCTTCTGGAGGGAGGGGAGGGCGATGCATGCTGGAAGGCGCGGCCCATGTGTGTATGTCCCTTTTGAACAACATAAACCCTATCAGACAGCCTTTGGCATTTTTCCACGCCTCAAGGTGCACAGGGCACGGGGAACAATCGAAAGCGTACCTAACCTAGGCCCCTCCAGATGGGCCAGAGTAGACGGGGTCGGAGTGTCGTGTTGCAACGTCGATGCATCGGCCCGGTCCAATGCGGCTCCAATGCTCCGACGATTCGACGCGTCACGGGCTCGCATGGCGCTGTTGTGCATTTTGGTGCGGCCGATTTGATCCGATCTAGACTCCGCGTCGATGCGGTTCGACCCGATCCGATTTCCATATTCAAGTCTGACTGGCCCCGATTCGGGAGGCCTCCGCAGTCGGGTCGGGCGAAATGGGGGGACTGAGAAGTGGGGGGCAAGACATCGGCAGCATGCAACTGCTCATGGGCGCACCCTCGATGCATGGCCCCCTCTAGCTCTGGGATGCGTTGGGGAAATCAGCTACGCGGGCTGATTCGTTACCCCGCGCCCTTACCGACCTCGGGGGAAGCCAGCTCTACATCTACACTGATCCAGGCGAGGCCGATCATTCGCCCAGGATCGGCCTGGCCAGGATCGGTGTAAGTGTGTGGCTGGCGTCCTCCTACAAATTCGTTGTTCGGTCTTGGACCCCTTGCTAAGCGCAACCATCCAGCTTTCGCGCCGAAGACCACCGAAGACCACAGAAGACCGCCCGACGATGGCACAGGGCCGATGGGCAACAGGGCGTCCATGGCGGGATCCAGAGGAGGAGGAGGAGGAGGAGGAGGAGGAGGAGGAGCAGGAGGAGGAGGAGGAGGAGGAGGAGGACGAGGAGGAGGAGGAGGAGGAGGACGAGGAGGAGGAGGAGGAGGCGGTGGCGGAGGTGCAGGAGGAGGAGGAGGAGGAGGAGGAGGACGAGGAGGAGGAGGAGGAGGAGGAGGGAATTCCCAGGTGGCGGGCGGACTCGGGCGGGGCTCCAGCGCCTCTTCCCTGGAGCGGCTGCCCGACGTGGGCGAGGCGCCGCAGCCGCCGGACGAGCAGGCGCGCCCAGTTTCGTCGGGCGTCGTCGGACGACGTCGCCGGGTGTCGTCGTCGTCGTCGTCGTCGTCGTCGTCGTCGTCGTCGCATGACGTCGTCGTCGGCAGGGTCCACTTCGATCCGATTGATCCGATGCGATATCCCGACGATCCGATGTGTTCCGATGCTGGCACGGCGCTGCTGTGCATCCTGGCGGGGCGGATCAGATTCGAGGTCGAACCCCTGCCGATACGGCCCGATCCCATGCACCGTCTCGACCTGATCCGATTTTCCGATTCGGTGCTGCCTGATCTTGCGTCGGCCGACGACGCGAGCACAAGTCGTGACGGCCGTGCTTTTCCTTGCTTTCGGCCTCTGGCGGCCGCTTCCCGGCCCTGGCGACCCCTCGGTGATCAAGGTTCCGGGATCTCCAGGTTTGAACATTTCTGACTTTCCGGACGTCGCCGTCCTCGGACGACGTTGAGGATCCAGATTTGAGGATATCGTGGGGTTGTATCGTATCGCCACACAGGTGACCCCAGCGCGGGCGTTCGAGGTTGAACGTTGTCGGTGCCCTGTATCGGCCGACATCGAATGATCCGCGCTATCGGACAGTTCCGGTCGTGCAGGGTTGAACGATCCACGCGGTGTGACAAATCAAGTCTGAGGTCGATACGACGCAAAACTTAGGTGCTTCGACTCTTCTGGATCTTTTTCAGTCTCTGGAGTATTCGGGATGCCCCCGGCGACCTCCCAGGGCCGTCGGGTTTCTCCGGGCCCTCTGGGTGCCGTCGTCGGCAACGTCGTCGTGTTCGTCGCCGTCGTCGTCGTCGTCGTTCGTGGTCGCCTTCGTCGTTGTCGTTGTCGTCGTCCTCATCATCATGGTCGTCGGGCATCGTCCCCGTCGTCCTCGTTGTCCTCGTCGTCTCGTCGTCAACTGAAGGCATCATCTGACGACGCCGGCGTCGACGTCATCGGACCTCACTGGATGTCGCCGCCGTCGTCGTCGTCGTCGTCGGACGTCGTCGGACGTTGCCGTCGAAAGATGCCGCCGACGCCGCCTTTGGCGGTTCTCGATTGGCCTGATCGGCCCTCAGCGGCCTCCGGCGGCCTCTGGCGGCCTCTGGCGGCAGCGTCGTCAGTCGTCGTCGAACGACGTCGTTGATCGTTCGTCTGCGGTCGAGAGTCGAGGTTCGAGGGGAGTTTTTTGTATCCAAGGCATGCATGTATCAAAGGGTATGTCCGCCACCGTGCCTCGTGCACGTTGAGGCGTTGGAGAATGCCAACGGCTGTCTGGTAGGGTTGCTGTATGCTGACATGGGACGCCACCCCTCTACTAGTATTCCCCACATGCATCGCTCCTCTCACCCGAGGCTCCTTGGGCCACGATCCCTCGTAAATCACCCCGACGGTAGGACCCCGCGCGAGAATCTCCTCAGTTTGCATGCGAGTACTTGTCATCGCGATGGTTTTCAGTCCCTTGTTCTGACTGTGCGAATTCCTTCCATTGTGACTTTTCTTTGATCCCGCGCAGCCCAGGCTCGCGAAGAGATCAAGGGCTCTCCGCTGCCTTGCTGCGTCATGTTTTGTTTGTATGCTGCCGCCTGGCCAGAGGTTGAGGCTGAAAGCCCAGGAGTCAGGACAGGGGCTCCAAATTTTGCCAGGTCTTGCCAGCATCGCTTGACGTCTCGGGCCTTCGATTTTTCGTTGTCCCTGTTTTCGGTTCGGTCCCTCGTTCGGCTCTGTCTGGGTCCTGGTCCGTCCCTCGCTTCTTTCGGCCCTCCCTTCGGGCCCCTCGCTCGTCGTTTCGGCGCCACGGGCAGGAGTGTTCGGCAGACGATCACCCGTGCGCAAATCAAAAAAAAAAAAAAAACCTCCTCCTCCGCCTCCTCCACCTCCTCCTCCACCTTGTTCCCTGCTGGTCCTGCCCAGTCCTTTTGCCTGCCCACCCCTCCTCTACCAGCCCCCTCCAGCTCCTCCTCCTCCTCCTCCTGCGTCCTCCGCATTATCCTCCTGTTTTCCTGTATTCCTGCCCTATCCTCTTCCCTCTGTTCGTACTACTACCTCCTGCCTCCTCGTGTTCTTCGCCCTCCACCTAGTGCTGCTTCCTCCTCCTCCTCCTCCTCCTCCTCCTCCTCCCTCCCTGCTCCTATCTCTTGCCTCCTCCTCGTGATCATTCAGCCTCCTCCTCCTGCTGTTCCTCCTCCTGCTTTTCCTCCTCCTCCTCCTCCTCCTCCTCCTTCCCCTTGTCAAGCTCCTCCCTCCCTTGTTCTCCTCCCGCCTCCTCCTCCTCCTCCTTCTAGTCCCGTGCGCGGAGCAAGCCGTTCAGACGCTTCAGCGCCGCGTTCCAATGAAGCCAGAGCATGCCGTTGGTCAGACCCCACAAGGGGGAGGCTGCGGACCCAACAGGGAGGGGGCTCCCACTCCGGACATCCTCGCGGTTCACTCACAGATGAGGCCTCCGCTCGAGACATGATCACGATTCGCCTCCTGGGGCCAGGGGGTGTTCAAGTGCTCTGCCTGTCACGGTGCGCCGATGACCGCCTGGGATTCGAACGCCCAGTCGGGACCCCACAGGGAGGCGGCTCCCGCTGGGGAGATCCTCGCCATTCACTCACAGATCAGGCCCCACTGCCGGCCCGGAGACATGGGCTTCCCCTTGCCCCCGACTCAGCCGCCGATGAGTCACGTCGGGCGGCCTGGACACATGGGCTCTCCCCTGCGCCCGATGCGGGCTCGGATGGGCTACCACCCGCACCCCTGCCGTGACGCCGTCGTCCTCCCAAATTCCTGTTCGTCCTATTCCTCCTCTGACGAGTCGAGCGAGTGGCCTTCTGGGGAGCCCAGCAGTGGGCCCAAGAGTGACGACCGCTACAGGACTTGGATGACCCCGCTCGGATTCGCCCGCGATGGTTTGCATCGCCCTGTCGCAATGTCTGGACGACACACTCGGATTCCAACGTGGAGGTGAGGGCTCGCATCATAGGTGACGGCTTGTTAGGTGTACCCCTTGTTGAACGCAACCATCCAGCTTTCGCGCGGAAGACCGCTTGAAACCGCCGACGACCGCCGATAACCGACAGAAGACCGCCGAAGACAACCGAATACGCTACAAGACCGCCGAAGACCGCCCATTGCTGGTGGGTAATCAGGGGTGCTCGTATGGATCGCTCGGATTTCAGCATGAGGTGCGGGCCCCCCTAGCAATGTGTCTCCCGCTCGAGACCCTTTCGCCCTTCGCCATTCACTCACAGAATCGGCCCCCGCTCGAGACATCGTCACGGCTCACTCACCGATGAGGCTTCGGCTGCAGACATCTTCACGATTCGCCTCGTAGGGGCGCTCAAGTCTTTTGCCTGCCATGGGCCATGGTAAGATGACCACTTAGGATTCGAACATGCTTTGGGGATCCCACAGGAAGGGGGCTCCCGCTGGAGATATCGCCATTCACTCACAGGTGATGCCTCCGCTCCGGACATCCTCACGATTTGCCACCTTTGGGTGTCCAAGTGCTATGCCTGCTACAATATGGTAGGCCAATGACCGCCTTGGATTTGAGCATGATCTGGGGACCCCATGGGGAGGGAGCTCCCGCTCGAGACCCCTTCGCCATTCACTCATAGATGAAGCCCCCCTTTCGAGACATCCTCACGATTCGTCTTCTAGGGGTGCTCAAGTGTGATGCCTGCTGTGGTAGGCCGCTGACCACCTTGGATTCGAACATGAAGCGGGAACCCCATAGGGCAGGGGCCCTGGCTCGAAAGTCCCTCGCCATTCGCTCACACATGAGGCCCCCGCTCGAGACATCCTCACGATTCGCCTCCCTGGGATGCTCAAGTGCCATGCCTGCTATGGTAGGTCGATGACCGCTTGGGATTCGAACATGCTTTGGGGACCCAATAGGGAGGGGGGTTCCCGCTCGAGACTGCTCCGCTATTCGCTCACAGACAAGGTTCCCGATCGGGAGGTTCTTAAATATGATAGTGCGAGTGTGCCAGCGCTTGTGAGCTGATGGTGATGGTGAGGATGAGGATGATGATCAGGACCAGTATGATGATGAGGATGATGATGGTGATGCTGATGCTGCTGCTGCCTATCAGGATTATGGTGATGATGATGATGATGATGATGATGATGATGATGATGTTGATCATCATCATGATCATGATGATCATGTTGCTGCTGATGACGATAATGTTATTGTTGCTGCTGCTGATGACGATGATGCTAATAACACTGATGATGATACGGATGATAATGCTGCTGGTAATCGTGATGATCATGATCATCAGTATGTTGACGAAGATGACGATGATGATGATAATGCTGTTGATGCTGACGATGATGATGACGATGACAAGATGATGCCATGATGATGATGATGATGATGATGATGATGATGATGATGATGACGATGCTGCTGATGATGATGATGATGATGATGATGCGGATGATGATGATGATGATGATGATGATGATGCTGATGCTGATGCTGATGATGATGATGATGATGATGATGATGATGATGCTGATGCTGATGTTGATGTTGATGTTGATGTTGATGTTGATGCTGATGGTGATGAGGATGAGGATGAGGATGAGGATGAGGATGATGATGATGATGCTGATGATGATTATTATTATTATGATGATATTGATAGTGATGATAATCATGTTGCTGCTGTTGATGCTGCTGCTATTACGGTTGCTGATTAGGATGCGGATCATACGGATGGTGATACTGATTTTGGATGATGATCGGCGTAACGATGATAATGGTGCGATGGTGATGGTGATGGTGATTACGATGGTGGCGTGATGACGCTAGTGGCGATGATGGAGATGATGGTCAGGGATGGTGACGAGAGGGTGATTATGAGTGTGAAACGAGGAGAGGAGGAGAGGGGGTGTGAGGTGTGGTGTGAGGAGTGTGCAGGGTGTCCAGAGAAAACAAACCACCACTGCGCAGTGGGGCCTTACCAGCAAGTACGTAGGGGGGGATTTTGCTGAGGACACGTTTCACA